CGTGGCGGCGCGGGAGGGAGAGGCGGGAAGCGGGGGAAATCGCCTTTTTCTCCTCCGTGCTGCCCTTATTTCGAGGAACGCCGTTACAGCGAGTGAGCCTCGTCCCCATGACGTGCCATCCTGGGGTAGAGACCGGCAAGCCGTAGCAGGGGGCAGCTGGCAATGCACCCTGGCCCCGAACGGCGATGAGGACGAGGGAGACCGCGGGTGAGGGTGAGCTGCCCCGGCTCCCCGCGGCAAAGCCGCGGCAGGAGGGGCAGGGCAGCTCTGAGCAGCAGCGGGAGCACAGATTAATCGTAATCTCCACCTCAGAGCAGGATTTAAATGGCTTTGGCACGCTCGCGGCCCACCCTGGGGACATAAAAAGGGCAGGTGTCTCGCAGCAGTTCCACAGACTTCAGTCAAGCCCTGCCCTTTCACCCCCGGCTTTTCTGTTTCAGCCCCGTTCTGAGCAGCACTTGGTGTCAAAGCACCGAAAACTATAAATCCATCCCAGGGCTACAGAGGTTTCTTGAAAATCTTTAGAAATGCTGAAAAGGAAAGCAACATTTTTTGGGAATTATCACGCTGCCTTTTCTGCAAGGAAAGGGAAAACAAGATACTTTGAGACTGACAGCAAAGCCCCGGCCTGAGGGCGCAAGCTGTCAGCAGCACTGCTCTCTCCTACCTCTCCCAAAGACAAAAAAAGACAAAGTTAGGCTTGCTTTCCACACTACATACATGTTAACACCACAGGCTTGCTGAAGACAGACAAACACACCACTGCCAACAGGCTTTACAGCAGGGCTAAGTGCTAGCAGTGTGTGAAAGATGGCGCATGGCCACCGAGGCTGCTGCGGGTGGGCAGGATCGCCATGGGTGCTGAGAAGGGGTCCCGCCGCCCCTCACCATGCCCTGGGTGCACCAGGAGCGCCCCGCTGCTTACTCAAGCAGCGCTTCCTGTTTCCTTCTGGCTGTTCCGAAACCGTACTCGCCCTCTTCATAACCCTGCCCTCAGAGACTAGAGCTGTGGCTGGTGGACAACCTCTTTGCGCTTTTGAAGAGGGAAAGACAACTGAGGAAGCTTATAGAGAGCATCAGAGAGCAGGGGGGAACAGGAGTGACAGCACAGAAGAGGGAACGCGCTGTGGGGGACCTCGGCAGGGAACCGGGGGAAAACAAGGCTCACCCAGAAAGGAAGGAAACGGCAGAGAGAAAGGAAAGACGTGAAGCGGAAACAGAGCAAACGAGCTTCATGAAAAAGCACATTAAAAACACCACTGACAAAGGAAAAGATGAAAAGGAGGGTGACAAAGAACAATAAGCACTACGGGCATTTCAAGTTATGTCGGGTTTTTAATCAAATGAAATTTGATGCTAAAATATGTAAAACCACATGGTTATACCTTTAGTATCAGGAGCAAGCAAAGAAGCAAACGAGGACTAAACTGGAGAAGGATGTATACAAATGAAAGTTGTGCATGTTGTATACAGTCACACAGTATACAAAGAAAAACCTCTCCCTTCTCTATCCCTCTACATCTATCTAGTGCCATGTTCCCTTCCGCTAACTTTTTTCTATTTTTCTACCGACTTCTTAGTTATGCTTGATTGCTACACTTCCCTCCCCCCCCCTTTTCTGAGTTTTCAGACATCTTGTAAACTAGAGTCTAACCAAAACATAAAAGTGCCGAGATAAAAATTAAGGTAAATAAAACCCGATTATAGACAAAAAGTTTCCAACAAACATCGAAGTCATTAATTACTAGACTACCTGGGGGGGGAAGGGAATCTAAAAAAAGTTATAAAGTTATTTTCTTAGTTTTACTTGGAAAATTTGTGTTCGATTTCATACTGAAAGGGTTTCGTTAATACTTTCTCTCAAATGTTAAACAGGTTCAGAACTTCTTCTAAGCAATATAGCTTTGTAATGCTGGAAACGCTTATTAGAAAGTGATATATTTTAATCAAATTAATTCCCACTACACAAAAATGAAAAAAGTAGTGAAATTATTTTCCTCCTCATGTATGGCATATTGTTTTTACTTCTGCATGTATCTTTACTCCTGTAGGACAATGGAACAAGACTTGGAAGTTAACATCTTTATGAAAAAAACATTTGAAAGATTGGAGTATGCACCACTTGTTGTGTCCTCACTTTAGTACTAAAATATTCACTATGAAATAAAAGCTTTTCTGATTTTATGTTAAATATTTTGCACACACCAAATACAATAGGGCAAAAGAGCATCGTCTTGTCCTCCATTTTGCATAGGTACTCAAAGGGTTATGTAAGGTCTTACGGGAAAAGAGAGACTAGAGGCAAGTGACTATGCAAAAATAATGATCTACAAATATTGCAGCCAACTATTAATCATATTCAATTCTATTTACTATCCCTTTTTATATTTGGGTTGAAGCAGAAGCTTCTGAAATATGCAGTTTTTACAGAGTATCCAGAAAAACATCAGAGATGGAACTCAACAGGCTCAGCCGAGGCTTCTAGTTATGTGGCTTCCCTCTGTAAAGCAAAAAGTATAGAAGATGTCTACAGCAGCCCATAAATTCAACAGCAGTGTCAAAAAATTCATATCAGTCAGTCTTGTATACACAAGAAAATACATGGTTCTGCACTTCCGCCAATAGGAAGGGTGAGGCCTGGCAGCAGACCGACATTGGGAGTCCCTGGCTCTGCGCTATAAGGTTAGCACAGCACTTGAGCTCTAAGCTCCAAAATCTGCAGATCAGACTCACTCGGATGTGAGGGGTGCCATGTGCTTTTCAAAAAGGAAAGCCTGGTAGGGGAAGGAAAAACTGGAGGAGCCTGGCTCTCACTTGTGTTCTGCTCCCTTAATCAGTACAGGTGCAAAGCACTCAAGTAATTTGGCTCTGCAAACTTTATCAAGGACTGCAGATAAGATATATCCAGTGAGACTAAAAACTTGCAGGAAGGTTAAATACCTAGGAATCCGGACAAAGAGCAGAGCACCGAATCATCATATTCAACCAGGCAGAATAGGAAGACTGCTAACACACAGCACCTTACAAGGGCCAAAATCTACACCTACAAAAACGCAGATAGCAGGCAGTTTTCTTTATAAACTCAATTTCCAATGCATTCTTTAAAATTTATCTTAGAAGAGATAGGGAATTAGATTCTTTGCATCGTTTATTAATTTTCAAGCATGGAAAGGGATCTGAAAGAAATATACACCACATAAATAAGGACAACTCATTAAGATAGCATGCTTGATCGTTCACCTTGAGAAAGGCTGAAAATTTTCAATTCTTTGTTTTTTTCATGCAAGCTGAAATGATCTACAAGGTCTGACAATCTCCTTCCATACTTTGTTTTTAAAAGGAAAAAGTGCATACTTCTACACTTGAAATTCCCCATGGTACATGGTAAGTACTGCATAACAGTTTCCCTCTTCCCTCCGTCCCCACTCTGTTAGTGTGTTGGCACAATGGTAGGGTAACAATCACCAGATTTCAAAAACCACTCAAAGGTTTGGGGTAGCTTTTAAAAATAAATAAAACTATATAGTCAGATAGAGAATAGATTTTTTTGGTGGATAATTTATAACACAAATTCATAAATATGATCACATTCAATTTCCTAAAAATCTATACAAGTAACACCACTTCCCTTGTAATGCATGGATTTCAAGTAATTACACAAAGCTCCATTACACAGCCTTTTACATACAAATTACACAAAATTACAGACATATATGCAGTCACACATCGGGGATAATGTAATGCTTCTGACTACTTAATGGTCCAAAAATAATAAAAGTAAGTCAAAAAAAGCTAGTTTTTAGTTTAATTGTTGGGGTGGAATGTACTGTGGGTGGTGGTTGCCTAGCAGCTGCTTTTGCTTTGCTGGCCTGACTTGCTCGGACTGCAGTTTCTAGACGTGTTTTTAATTCAGGAGCAGCTCCCATTACTGTCTTGAAAGCATGTGGGTAAAGTGGACCAATGTGCATTAGATTCTGAAGTGCAAATTCGTGAAGATCCTTAGATGCTGTAGATGCAGAAGCAAAGGCATTTTCATTCAGTAAATAGGAGATCAGAGTGGGAACGAGAAGGGCAAGCAACTGGACTCCTAGAAGTGAAAGAAGAAAAAAAAAGTAATAACCGTATCAGAGAAGAAAACAAAAGAAAATTAATTTTATCAGTTGCTAGACTGATAAGGGTAATTTTGTTTTCAGAATTGACAATAAACACTGTAATTAAAAAATGATCAAATAAAAAACAACTGAAATGTAGATGGTTTCCTGTCCTTTGGTCACTCAAATCTTTCTTACCAGGATTGTATTTCAGACTTCTATTATTGTTCATCACAGTTATTTTGTTCCTGACACTTTCTTTAGAGATGCCCTTGCACCACCTCATTGCAGATCATTGATAAGAGATCGTAAGATGTAGAGTGCCTATCATATTAAAGGATTTCAAAACACTTTTCAGGCAGACAGAAACATTATTCAATTGAATCTGAATATCAGCCTCCCTGGTGAGTATAGCAGAACCGCTATTAGTATGCAAGTGTTCATGAAAAAGTCAGGGACCGTTATCTGCTGTATTACTCCATTCTGGAAGACTGCAATCCAAAAACTAGCACCGCAGCTATACTTGGGCTAGCGCAGCCTAACGAGGCCACAGCCCAAAATGGCACAGGGATCAAAAGGGTTTATCTTTAGAACAAAAAAGCAGCTGAACTTAAGCAATAGGGCTAATTTTTGTATCTAGCAAGGATGCAAGTATGTCTTTGAAATGTGTAACATGTTAATTGTAAATTTTAAGCTCAAAGAACTTAAACATTAATGGTAACTCATTTATCTAAAATTTTGTAGGTTATCAGTGTATTAATGATTTTCCCCTAAAGGTTTTGACTAAATTCATACTCATGGGGTGATTGTTTCCAGCCAGCATTAGCAAAAATCAGATGTTTTGTTTCCTCCTTCGCTTCAGTTACTCTCTCATTCGGTTACATGTGTTTCAAACAACTGTGCCAGAAGCAGAACGGGGCTCAAGAAAACATACATTTAATGTTTTATCATCAATGAAGAGAAATACCAATGGGGAGTATGTTGGGGGGAAAGGGAGGGAAACACACAAAACCAACAGTAATATTTTTACAAGGAACTTTATCAGCATTTAAAGCCAAATGTCTGCAAGTAAGTCTTTAGAAAACGCATTGTTTCAGTTAGAGAATAACTGAACTTAAAGATAAACTATAAATACTGTATTATATCTACTGAAGCAAACAGGAGGCTCCATCTACAATCAAGATATTCTGACCAGTACAATTCAATTTCTTGGGCTTTTCAGATAAACTTTGTTGAGCTGGTAGAAGCAACCTGATAGAAGTGATGAGTCTGCTAAAATAAAAGTGAACAATGGGAAAAAGTAAATTTAAATGGTGTGAACTACTCATTTTCAAACAGAAGAAAACATCACTCGCTACTGCAGTTCATGTTTAGAACTTTTTTTCCTGCAGTCATCAGAAATGCAAAGGCTACAGCATATCATACTGTACGTGCTATACAAGTCCATGTATACAAAAGTTCTAGTACTAGCATTACAAAAGCATGTTGCACAGATGTGGTTAATTTGTGACTATGCCATCAAGTTCCTAACTGCAAGATTTCTAATGTTCAATATTCTATTTTAGCATTACACATTTCTCTAGAAAAACTAAATACTTACTATTCTGCTCTTCACCAAGGGCAACCAACGTTTCAAGGACTTTAATTCCTTCCTGCACTGCTAACAGCTCCAGGTTGTTGTTTGGGCGGCTCCTTTCCACAGCTTTCAACTTCTCAACCATGATAGGGGCCAATGAATGAATATATGGAGTTGACAGGGCACGATTGGTGTGTTGGAACACAGAAAGCAGGAGTTGGTAACACTTGGCTTGAACCTAATCAAATCAAGATAAATACATTGTCCTGAAAGTTATTTGTTAACTCAGGGAATTCTAATAAACTGTTATCTATGTAGGCAAGATACACGTGATACCAAGAAAAAAAAAAAAGACAACTAAAGGGGAAGGAAACATACTGAATAAGAGGAAAGCAGCAACACAGCCCATCTGCTAAAATAATATTAGCCCAGTTTTCAATAAAAGGAAGGCCAGTTAGAAAGAACATGCAGGTACTAAACAGTAGTAATAATATAAACTCAGATAAAATAAAGGAATAGTTATACAAGTCAGTCACACAGGTCCACAGAGAACTACATCTTTAAGGCTCAGAACTACCAGCACTAATAGTAAATGTATCTGCAAAATCATGAAATGCTATTCCTATCTCAGAAGGGTAAAACAGCCCATAAAAATGACTCAGATCAAAGTGATCTTATTGCTCTAACATGAGCCAAGGCTGTAGCCAAAAGTGGCAGGCCTGTCCTTCCTTCCTTCTCATTCTCCATCTTGTGCTGGTAGTACCATAGGAGTATATGCATGGCCATACAGTGAGCTGGATCACAGAACTCTCTCCTTGCCTTCCTTCTATTTTCTTCCCCCCGCCCTCCCTCTTTTCTCTGGAAAGCGGGGATTATTACAGTCAACGTTTGGGAAAATGACTCACTGATGATCTTGTTTAGACGAACTTATGAATGCATTTTATTTGGGCGTACAAAAGTCTTCCTCCAAAATCCCACACAAATAACCCAGAACTTTTGAAAAGGTAAAGCTCTGCAACAAATACAAGGGCAAAACATTGCACGTGCTTTCAAACTGCACTCAAGTCCAAACAGGATGAGTTATTGAGCACATGCTGAACAGAAAGATTCTAGAGGAAGTATTATTGAACACAATGATCTGTGAGGAGATCTGGGGATGACTGGAAATACAGATGCATAAATAAAAATATTGAATAAAAATGACAGATAATAAAAACTAATAGTAAGAAAATACAAGTTATGCAGCTCATGTCACTACTAATTCACTAGTATACAGCTGCAAGTTTTCTATACAATTCATTTCTTAAGGCCTGAAGTAATAACACTTCTTCTAATACCGTTTCTATGCTTTCTAACAGAGCTCCCCGGAAGAACGTTTTATCCTAATGCCTTACTCAACATCATCTTTGACCTGTTTCAACAAATTATTCCTCTATCTCTCTGCTTTCTAACAGAGCTCCCCGGAGTTTTGTTTTATCCTAATGCCTTACTCAACATCATCTTTGACCTGTTTCAACAAATTATTCCTCTTCTATTCCACTCCAAATAATTCCCTTCCCTTCCCTTTCTGTCTACATTCTTAAACTTTACTCTCTCTATTCCACTCCAAATAATTCCCTTCCCTTTCTGTCTACATTCTTTAAACTTTACTCCTTATTAGCTGTTAAGATTAGCCTTCAAAGTAAGGTGTAAGAGTCTCTTTTCTTACATGCATGCATAATTCAAGTAAGAGTTTTAAGACTGCATCTGACAGCAGAATTTCATCCAAGCTTCTTTTATTCCATCTATATAATATAAATCTTTTGACTATTCTGCATTCACAGAAGTCTACAAAACCTCCTGCGAGATAAAATCAGGGCTTCTTCAAAGCGTGTAAGGCACACTCTCATGTAAAACTCACCCATTAGCATTGAGAGACAAGGGTCTCTCAACTGAGTTCCCTTGTTGGGGCAAAATGAAATTGAGCTCACCAGCCTTCTGGTTATTACTATACATGTTATCTAACCTTTCAGACTTTGCAGGTGGTAATAGTTTCAAAAATACGCCTGTGTTTCTTATGAGGCAGCGGTATTTCTTTAGAAGAGTTTTTTCCATAATCAGTTCAATGCTTTTAGTACAATCAGTATAATGCTTTTGTTCCAAACAGGTGTCTAGTTACTGATCCCAACAATGAGTGTTTTATATTTAAAAACCTAGAACGAACACACAGCAAGTATTACTGAGTATATGTTCTGCACATCAGCGAGGAGAGTGGACACAATCTGGCTGCTGTCAAAGCATTCTCTGTGAATTACAAGAATAGTGGTAAGTTCCAGCTCACTGACAGCTTTCCAGCAGGGTGGTGGGCAAAGATGTACTTCTCTCACTGTTCACGTGTTTATAAGAGCTGAGAGAGAGTACGACGTAAAAGTTTCTGCTTAATACAACTGACATTTCCATTCCCACGCTAAAATTTTAAGTAGCTTTCCACCCGAAGTCAGGCTTCAGAACCAACTGAATTTTATGTCCACGCTGGAAAACACCAGCCCTGCTGCACAGAAGCCTTATCAGTCTAAACAGGATTTTAAATGTCTCTCAGTGACCCTAACACATCAGCATTTTTTGCGTGTTTTTCTTCTCAGGAATCTCTGCAGCGCTCGCTTGTGGAAACACTATAGATTTCTCTCTTTAGCTCCCACCTGCAGATTTGTATACCCACTCAAACAAACAGCCGGAACAGTTAAGGTGAACTATACAGCGCATTAGCCTGCTTGAACAAAGTCAGTCTACAACATTTTAGTTTCCCTCTCTAGTGAGAAAATAATTTAGAAGGTAATTCATAAAGACAAACCCAAGGTCAGAAGTGAAATCAGGAGACAAATGATTCACAATCTGTAGATGTTCTGATTGTGACCACAAAATTACATTTTTGCACTCAAACTGAATTTTGTATCAACATGTAAAATAAGCACAGGTTTTGCACAAACAAATACAAAATTCATCAGAAATGTGGGCTGTAATTTTATCTACAGAAAAAGTGGCTTAGTTTGCATTATAAAAGATCAGCATTAATGTAGAAATGTCACCACTCTCTGGTAACCAACCTTTTCAATTGCTAAAATTTCACATAGCAAAGATTTTTTTCCTTTTAAAAAGCTGTAAGTCAAGAACCTGGCACAATGCCATGAACACACATTATCTAGAAGCACTTAGTTTGGGTTGTTTTGCTCACTAAAGAGTTTCTATAATACAGTGTTGAAAATTCTAGTTATTTTGACAAGCAGTATCTGTCTCTGAAGTAAAGGCATCACAAAGCATTCAGGATATATGGTAAATATAACACAATTAGTTTTTCTTAGCTATATCTCATTCACATTCCTATAACATGATCTTACCCAAGGATCACAGGAATTTAATGCACTTTTAAATCTGCTCATACATCCATTTTGTAAAGACTGCACTCCAATTATTTCAGTGCTTGCTGACCAAAGGAAGAGAGCAATAGCTGTAAGTATGCTTACTTCATCAAGAATAGGCTTAGAGGCTTCTGAAAAACAAAACCAAACATGCTGTTAGCCTACTCCAAAAAGGGGTTAGAATTTATTTAGTAAAAGCCAGTGAACACAGATAAACTCACAAAGAGGAAATAAATGTACTTGAAATTATTTGCAACTGCAAACAAATATGCATCTAGTTATTACAAAATCACTTTATCATTATTGACTGTGACTGACAAAAAGCTGAGCAACTCTATTCTAATCGTTTTAATAAAGTAAGTCAAACTTTCTGAAATGTAAATATCAAGGAACAAACATCACCCACACTTTCTCTGAGAAAGTCATATTTTTTGTTTTCAATGTGTAAGCAAGAGAGGAAAAAAAATTGTATTTTTTACATCCTTTCCCCAATAAAAATATACTTCACTTTTTTTTTTAATCTCTTCAGCTGATGCAGCAGAGTAAGAAACTGATATCCAGCATGGCAACAACTTTTACTTAACATGAGGTTTCACGTAACAGACTAGCTGATCTGACAGCTACCTTTCACCAATAAGAACGGTCTTACTTTTAACCTTTCCTGCTTTTCAAATAGTCTGTATTTGCCATTGTCAACCTTTTTTTCATTGCACAAGCTCTGTCTTCACAGATCTTATTCATGAATTTACATCAGAAAAAAAATCATCAAGAAAAAAAATATTTATATATAATTATTATAATATATATAAAGTACTGTTCTGCTGGTTTGGTAGGCCAGATTGGTTCTTTTCTCCATTGAGAGGCACAAAGAAACAGCAGATATATACTCAGCAAAAAGAAAAACAGCATGACTGCCCTATACAGATGTCTGCTAGCCACTCGATTGGCTTAGCCATGATGTGAAACCTCACTTCAAAAAAACTACTCCAAGCATTTTAACTGACAATTCTTTAAAAAAAAATTAAAGTTTAAATTTGTTTAAATTTTATTGAATTACAAGACTTGAAGCGTATGCAGTAGACCTTGCTTAGATTCTTGTGTGTGTGATGAGTCCCACTCCACAGAAGATTGGAAAGAAAACGGAAAACATACACTTTTGCAAGGAACCAACAAAGATTTCTGAAGTCTGCAAAAAAGCCTAAAGCCAGTAATGTTTCTGGAAAGAGGGACTGGGAAATCTTTACAGTAACAAAGGGCTGGAAGACAAGAGCTAATGTGACAAATCAAATTATAAGTTTGACTTGGTTAACACAAATCTACTGATCCTTCCCCTTCAGACATTTTCAGGATTGTTTGCAATTACCTACTCGCTCCCTATCTCTCACATGAGTAACTCCATTCAAGCCTCTCTTCAGTCTCTATAAATGGCTCCGTGGGATGTAATGGGATGTTTTCTGGCTGAACTACCATTATGCAAATGACAAATCTTTGTGTCTCTCTTTTGCTAACTATGCAGCTGAGACTGTACATCTTTTTTGCTTTTCGAAGGGCTAGGCAAAGTACGAATGTGAACCAAGAGAAGTAGTCTGCAGTTCTCTACAGAGACACAGTAGACATCCTGCTGGTGGGTAACATTTTTTTGGCAGGGGTAGGATTTTTCCTCACCACTGAAAGTTTGTAACAGTATTGTGAATATCCTGCTCCACTATGAACCTTGCCACAATTATCCCTTGCTGTCTTTACACTCATTCACTTTAACACCCACTGTCATTAAGACTACGAATCGTGTCAGCAAACACTTAAAAGATACACTGATTGCCATTTTTCCTGAGGTTTAATTCAAGGTGTCGAATCCATGTACGGTACTGAACAATTACAGTTTCAGGAAAGAGATCAGTTCCTCTACAAACACTGTTTTGGCAATTAAAATCTCCTTTCCTTTAAGCTAGCAGGTATTCTGTGGAAAGAGGAAAGGAACGGTGGAAATGATAGTTTGCTCAGGCCTTGCCAACATGTCTAGAGTTGCCAGTAGTCACAGAAATTGAGGCACAGTCCAGGAAGTAAAGTGAATTCAGCTTGGAACTCCTTTAGATTTTACTTGTGAGACATTCAGCAGCTGTCAGGAAGACTGATGGATATCAGAAGGTAGATTTCCAAGTTTCAGAAACAAGTCACTAGCTGAAACTATGAAGACTGGTAAGGTCAGCCTGAGGAAAAACTAAAGAATGAAATAATCACATCATAATGGGATTCAAAATGGAAGAGGAAAGTCTGAACTAGTACAGAAAAATAGCCTATGGAAAGGACCTGAGAGAGGGGGGGCTGCAAAATGAGTTGCAAAAGGCAAAATTTCTAACAGGAGGTTATGATCAATATTGTCAAAGAAAACAGACCAACAAGGACAAATCTGGGATAGGAACTCCTGAGATGTAACTGTATTTTCTTAAAGCCAAGGCTGTGCTTGTCTTCAACACAGCCTATTAAGTAACTCTAATTAGTTATGCTGTATGCACTCAGGTCTTTCTCCCATTTCAATTTTGCAAGCAATTCATCACCACTTTTAATCCCCAACCCTCAGACATGAAGCCTTAAATTATAGGCAGATAGAATACTTGCCTTTTCATTACAGCAAAACCCAGTCCTCTTTATTTTTAACTCTCCTGCACTGGGGAACCACTTACCAGGTTGAGAGTATTCCAAGATAGATGCCAGAGTGCTGCGGATAAGACCTGTCCATTGTTTCTGAGTTTCATCAGTCTTAACTGTTGGAAGAGTAACAATAGTTTTTATCCCTTGAAGGGCTGCACTGACTGGAGGTGGGACCTGATTATCTGCTGATTTTACTGCCGTTTCTTTCAATACTCTTGTAATCAGAAATAGGATAGTGGGTAAGATTGTCATACATCCTAAAAAAAAAAAAAAAAAGAATTTCTGAAGTTAATTCCAACAAGTGTCATAGATAACCTCTTTAGCTTTCCCAATATGGATATATATGGCTAGAGACAAAGGAGACACCAAGATAAACTGCAATTCAGGTAATAAGGGATATGTGCCATTCAATATTTTATCACCAAATTCATTCATTCATTAGTATTAACTGAACTGTATCATAACACAAGTCATACAAGCCAACACTTAAAACATTGCTGTCAATTCAGGATGATTCAGCTATTAAAAGTTTTGCCCTACATGGCATGTGATACATGGTATGTATCATATTGAACAAATCCAGATTGTTAAATATCTTAAAACAGGATCTGCATATTGCTAGGGTCCTATACAATAAACAACAACAATAAGAGGTCTGGAAACAGGTATCCAAACCAAGTTATGGCACTTTCCAAGGAAGCTGGTGTGTGGTACAAGCCCCAAAAGCAAAGTAAGGAGTTATCTGGGTGTCTCACATCCTGGGCAAAAGCTGCAGCCATCTGGCTACTCTACAAAGGGGACAAAATGGTCCTCCTCCTACTGCATTGCTTTTCTGAAGAAATCAACACCTATCTATATGTTTTGTGCAGCCAGTCCTACAGATGCAAGTTAGGCATACTCAAGAAATATTAGTCGAATAACAGATAACCTGACTTTAGACACATAGGAACTTTATTAGAAGGAGTTTCAATAACACCTGTAGACTTTAAGCCTCTGTAGGACTAAAAGAAGGGTGCTATTGGGCTTAGGCATGTAATACCAATCTATAGCTCACTTCCAACAGTCAAGTCTCTTTCCATATCTTTTCTATGCCTCATTTTCCCACATCTGTGGAAACACAAATCCTGCCATTTTCCTACTTCTGGGAATGCTGTGAGGGTAAATACACAAAGTAGAACAATTACGACTGGAAGGGACTGCTGGAGGTCATCTAGTCCAACCCCCTTTTCAAAGTAGCAGTTCCTCTAGATCAGATTGCCCAGGATCTTGTCCAATGGAGACTGCAAGATGCTCACGTTTTAAAGAAAAAGGAAGAAATATAAAAAACCCACTTAATCACAGAAAGTGATGAATTCTCTTTGTTCAGTTTCCCTTACACCCAAAGGCTCAATTAACACAAATGTTTGTGCATGTACTATCTCCCCCTCCCTACAGCTATCAGCTGGCTACATCTTCTGGATGAGAAAAAAAACGAAGTCTAGCAGTCTCTGTAGACTAACAATAGTTTCTGAGCTACTTTCACTGGTCACTTGCCAAATGCTGGGAGTCACGCCTTCACTCCAGTCAACACAGAAATAGTACTGTTACTCTTTTTGCCCACCATACCCCACCACCACCACCACCCCCCCCCCCAAAAAAAGGGAGAAAGGAAAAAGAACAAGGAATCAAATAAACACAGTGCAGGACTCCAGATCAGCTCAAAATCTACTGTTTTTTAAAGAACTGTAAGACACAAATTGTCTGTTTGAAGACAGCCGATGTTGTGTTCTGAGCATGACTTTGTCCAAATATGTTCTTTACCATGCATCTCATTACGGGACCAAACTCTAAAATGTCAGTGTGTGAAACTTCCCAGAGATCCACAAGACAACTCTTAAGCAATTTGTTCTCTGAAAAGCAAAACTCAAGAGCACAGCTTCCTCAAAGAGCACAGCTTCCCATGCAATTGTGTCCTTTAGCCCTGAACTCCACTCAGTGGAATTACCCTAGTTTACACATATTCTTTGTGACAGTCTCCCTGGGCAGAAGAAAGCTCCATTTAGTTTACAGTCACATTTGGGATGACTGACAGCCAACGGCTGCAAAATGAAGTGTACCACAGCTGAATTGTGCTGTTTTTTCCTTAGTAGGATTCTCTTTTCATCCAGCTGCTGCTTTTCATGAACTTCTCAGGAATTTAATTATCTCTATGTTCTTTTACAATATGATTAAAATTGGCCAAAAGGTTTCAAAATCATGAAAAAAGGAAGGGAAAAAACCAGCAATAAAATCATAGTGATATAGAGCTCATTTCCTCAGCAAACTTGCAGCAAACATGCAAATTCAAAATAAAATAATTTCCTTTACGTTGCTCACTGGAAAAGCCTGAATTCTTCATTTATTTTGGAACCTAAACATACTTTTCAATAGATGACCCTTAAAGTATCCCGTAAAAATATATTTACAGTTTGCTTTTAGCATCACATGCTCACTACGCTTCCCCTATGGTAATCACTCATACGTATTTTGTTACAATACCTTACCTGCTGGAGAACACAGAGAAGGCAGGTCAGACAGTATAGTAACAGTGGCAGCCACAAGACGAGCACTTTCCTCAGAGAGGTGGGATTTGGCAGCAATGTGACTTGGAGAATCTGACACTTTTGAACTCAGATGGGGCATGTGCCGTACTAGGATAAACATGAGTAATTCCATGGCTGCAAAGACTAGAGATTTTCCAGGCACAAGACTACCAGTCTCACCTCCCTCTCCTAAAGTAAGAGGATTTTCTTTTTCCTCAATATCATCTTCATCTGAAAAAAGGAAAGAAATGTCTGAGGAGACAATTAAGAAAGATCCCATACCAAAGATTACATGAAACACTCTTTAAAAAAAAAATTAAAAATCAAGAAGAAAAAGTTGCTTCAACAGTAAGATATGACAAACATGGCTCATATCAAACTAAATGTTTTACTTAGAATGACTTAAAGGGGTTGAAAATGCTTTATAAGTATTGTGATTGCAACAATACTTATTAAAAATCCATCCAGAACTAGGAAAAAAAAATAGCAATACTTACACAAAATAAAAATGCAGTAATTATTTTGCTTCTTCTAAAACTGATTGTAAAATTAACAGTCATGACTGCCAAATAAATAGGCATGACAGTATTTTTTTAATTTAATGGCTATTAACTAAATGTTCCACCCTGACAAAATTTTATTTCAGCCTAAATTGATTATGAAATAAGAGAAAAGAAAAGCACTGTAGGATTCTATGTCTGAGTTCATGATTTCAGTGCATTCAGTTCAAAAAGTCTGTCTTTTGAATGGCAGCTTGGCCAGCTGCAGTCTTTCCTTCTCCCATTAAACAGCAACAGAGATTCAGTAAGTCAAAGCTGGCCTGAACTACCCCTATGAAGCTCCTATGAATTTAAATGATTGCTAGTGTTATCACATTCACTGATTTGAAAAATGCAACTTACTGGGCCTATTCCAGTAAACAATTCCATTAATTCATATGAAGGAACAGAGCTTGCATTTTTAGCTGTGCTGGTTCCTCAAGTTCCAGCAAAATCCTCTCTCTTTTTTTATGTGGAAAATGGGCAAAAGCTAACAGTTGTTTTTTTTCTCAACAGTATATTATACCAGACTAAGATGGTAGTTTTTCTTAGTAAGAGAATATTCTTTGGGTTTTACTTTATTTCTTTCAGGTAAAAGAAAACATGGCAGACCTAACCTAACCAGGTATCAATGAACTATTTGCCAGATTGCCACTTGGAAACTAATTTACCTGGCAAAGATGGAAACAGTACATCCAATGTGAGATTTTTAAAGAAATGGTAAAGGGATGATTGAACAGGGAGATGCTCTGTTAAAAGGAAGAGGTTACTAACAGTACCTCAGAAAGCAGCTTTCAGACTCATGCTAATACCCTTCTCAAGGATGTTCTTACATAAAGTAGAAATAAATTAACAGAATATGCTGATGAAAAGCCTAAGCAAAACATCAGAAGCTGAAATATCATACCAGAAGAAGCGGGGATAAAAGAAGAAAGAATGAACTTTACTAAAGCTCAATAAAGGCCAAATAGAGGAACAGGATTTAGGTATATCAACTCATCAGAGAACCTCAGAAAAATTTAAGTTGAAAGGGACCTCCATAAGTCATCCAAGTCCAATCTCCTGTTCAAAACAGGGCCAACTTGAAAGCTAGAGCAGGTTGCTCAGGGCTGGTCCAGTTTTGAATATCTCCATGCGTGGAGATGCCACAACATCCCTGGGCACCTGTTCTACTGCTTCACCACTCCTGTGGTGACAAATTTTTTTCCTTGTATCCCATCTGGCTTTCCGTTGCTGCAACTTGTGTCTATCGCCTCTTGTCCTTCCACCTTTCAGAAGAGTCTGGATTGATCTCTTTAAATCCCCTTTAAGAGGGGGATTGCTATTCTACCCCATATTAACCCTCTCTTCCACAGACTAAACAAGTTCAGCTCGCTCAGCCTCTCCTCACGTGTCACATACTTCACTTCCCTAAGCAGCTTAGTGGACCTCCACTGGACTTCCTTGAGTTTGTCAACGTCTCTCTTATTCAGGAAGGGACAACAAAACTAGACACTGCTCCAGATGCACTTTCATACGCTCAAGTTGAAAGGAAAATCATATCCCTTAATCTACTGGTCATGCTTTTCTAATGCAGCCCAGTAACAGAGTCTCGAGCATTGCATAGGCACACCACAGATTCACATTCAACTTGTCATCTCGCAGATCTGCTATCCAGTCTGTCAGCCACCCAGCCGATACCAATGCACACGGTTATTCCATCCCAAATGCAGGATTTTGCATTTGTCTTTGCTGAACTTCAGCAGGTTCTCAGTCCTGCAGCTCGAGATTCCCCTGAAAGGCAGCACCGCCCTCCAGTGTATCCACCACTTGCACAATTTGGTATCATCCACAAATTTGCTGAGGGTGCATTCTGTCCTGTCAGCCAGGTTGTTAATGACAATGTTTAACAGTAGCAGACCCAATACTGAACTCTAAGGAACACCAGTTGCAACCAGCTGCCAGTTAGACCTGAATCACCGAACTCCATTCAGGCACAGCAGTCCAGCCAGCCTCCTACTTTTCACTCCACATCTCTCCAATTTGACAATGATACTATAGTGTACTGGGTCAAAAGCCTTGCAAAAGTCAAGGTCAACAATATCCACCACTCCCACTTCATCCAAAGCCAGTTATTTCACCACAGAGGGTGATTAGGCATTATTTGTCCTTGGTAAGTCTGTGCTCACTATTTCAAATCACATTCTTCTACTTCATGTACTTGGAAGTGGTTTCCAAGGGAATTTACTCCAAAATCTTTCAACACACACAAGTAGGCTTACATAGTATCCCAAATCCTGCCTCACATCTTTACTTATTGGAAGTTAGACGTAGCATCTACTTTTTGCCATTCATTGGAAAGCTTTCTTAAGCACCACAGCTTTTCAAAGATGACTGCAGCAGCCTTAGCATGTCATCAGCCAGCTCCCTCAGATGCATCCCATCTGGTCCCAGGGTATGTCCAGCTTTTAACTAAGAGGTCCCTGCCCTGATGCTCATTTACTGTAGGTAGCAATTCTCTCCCCTAAACTTGCTCACTGGACACAGAGACACAGGAGGACTAAGCAAAGAAGATAATAGTGCCTCAGGTTTTCCCCCGACGTGTTTTGTCATTAGATCACCCAATCCATTCGGCAGCAGATCCAAATTTCTTGGTCTTTTTGCTGCCAACATACCTATAAAAGCCCTTCTTGTCACACTTGACATTCATCACCACTCTCAGCTCCAGCCAAATCGTGGCTTTCCTAATTCCACTCCTCCACACCTGAGCAGACATCTTCAGTAGTCTTCCTGGGCAATTTGCCCCCACTTCCACCATCCATACACTTCCTTGTCACATTTGAGCTCCCGTTCAGCCAAGTCAGCCTCCTGCCACGCCTGTTTTGTATCCTGCACTTTTGGATGAGCTATTTTCTGTCACCGAAGATGAGCCATCTCTCTTTCCTTTGCCCTTCTGGGAAGCTTACCACAAGATCTCACCTGCAAGCTCCCTGCACAAGCCCAAGTCTGCTAAACCAGGCCAAAGCTTTTGCTCTACTACTTGCTTTCTTCATTTCCCTCAGGATCATGAACTCCACTATCTCATGGCTGCTACAGCCACAGCTACCATTAACCTTCATAACCATTTCTTCTGTGTTAGTGAGGAGCGGATCCACTGAGCACCTCCCTTATTTGGACTGTCCAGCATCCAGACTGAAAAAAAAAACCTGTGCCTCATACGCTTCTGAAAGTTTCAGATTGTTAGTATCCTGCAGCGTTGCTCTTCCAGCACATGTCTAGATGGTAAAAGTCTCTCATGAGACTCCCATAGCTTGTGATTCGAAGGCTTCTTCCAGCTGGTTTAATATGGCTTCACCCACCTCCTCTTCTTGATTAGGCAGTCTGTGGCAAACAAGAGAGTTCCCGACTGGTATCACCCTTTGCTTCCTCTTAGTGGTATCAGTTCTGACCTGTCAAAGAGGGATGGCTGGCCCAGATACCTACCCTGACAGCTTGTTCCTCTTCTCCTCTTCCCAAATCTCTATAGCGTTCTCCAACTGGTGTCTGGAGATAAAGCCTTTTCTTGCTGGAAGTCACAATCTTGCAGCCTCCACCTTTGTGGGAGTCCCATCCTCCAGGGCCATATTCCAGCATAGCCTATGGCTGTCCCTCCTTCCATGGCACATGGGGCTTGGGCTCCCACACCTGCAGGATCTCTGTGAAGAATACGTCATTCTTCCATTTGCCTTTCTTGACACTACACAGTCTGCTCACCTTCACACACATTTCCTTCACATCTCACAGGTGAGACCAATGTCACCTCCAGCCCTGGCTGCACAGACAAGCACATCAGGACTTTCAGCTGAATTTCAAGCCAGGTCATTAGACCTCTGATGTGCCAGAGGTCATTGTTCCTCAGTCTGCAGACTGTGTCTTGCTGTATGTCACTGCCATCATTATGCTGACTCGAGCAGTCTTGTGCAGTCTTGAGCAGCACTTCCGGCCTGCGTAAGCAGGCCTTTGCATGCCAACTGCCTTGCTCCTGTTTGCACACCCTGTTCCCAGAGCTCCTGGTTGCTGACACACCCGGAACGTCAGTGAAGTAAGAACCCAGATGCAAGTCTGCTCCACCTTCCTGGCAAGATCTTCTGGGCAGGCAACTTTTCACACTGGTTCCAGTAGCAGTTCACTCACCTCCTGAATGCCAGTTGTGCCAGGGACGCACCACAAGACCCTACATTGGGGGCTGAACTATTAAACTTCAGAAAAAAGGTAAATGAAGTGCTAGGAGGCAGTCAATAGAGGAACATTAATGAAACTGAGCAAGGCATTAGTAAGACCTTAAGTGGTGTGCTGGGTATAATTTTCATCACTCATATTCAAGAAAAATGAATGAAAACCATGACATGAAAAGAATAACCGCTAGAATGATCAGAGGAAGAAAAACCACATCTTACAAGAGTTAAGAAATCAGCAGCTAAGATCATGAATACATCAAAAGTGTCTGTGGAATACACAGCCTTTTCCTCCTCACTTTAACCATACTCTAATCTATTTGAGTTCCTTTCCCAATACGAAAACCTGTTGCTTATTTACTCTGCAAAGCAAGCCGTGTTTTCAAAATCTTACTTAGGGTGTTCCTTTTTTCCTGCAAATAATCTTGAGCTGCTCTTACTATCTGCTGGACAACTCCTGTGACCAGTAGCTGGACTGAAGGAGGATCCCAGGTCAGGAGGAGTCGGTGAAGCACACTCAAGAGTTCAACACCAAGGAGCTACAGTAAAACAAAATACATATTAAAAAAATTAATTAGGACTTAACAATTCCTAATTGTTATGTCACTTGCTTATGATGAGCAAGTGCTTTTCTCATGCAAAAATAATTACAGCTTTTGTAATCATCACAGTTGAAAGACCAAGACCTAGAAAAAGCTGATTGTTATAACATGCTCATACAGTACCTGATCCTCTGCAATATGGATCCTGGCACAAGGGGAATCCAATAAAGTATGAAGTGCTTGTAAACAAGATGTAACATGCTCAACAGGCTCTTCAGGTCGTGGGGAACACAGAAACTGTATACTAACACCTGAAAAGAGCAATAATTAAAAACAATGTTCACATCATCATAAAATCAAGTTTTCTTTTTTAAATTTATTTGTAAGTATAGCATGTTTTTAACAACTTCAGAAAGATACGTTTTTCTCAATTCTTCTTCCTTTAAAGGAAAAGAGGGTTTATGTATTAGAAATAGCAGAATTGTACTCGCTTTCTCTTGTGCATCATGTCTTCCCCAAAATTTGGCAGGAAAAATAATAAACCATGACAGCAAGCAACTTAGATTACTGAATGGAAATCCACACTTTGTTCTAAAGATCTGTAAGTCAGATTTCTGAATCCTTCAATTGTAAATTGAGTTTTATTTTATTGAAATCTTTTAAATGTAAAGATAACTGAGATGAAGTTAAGCCTCAAAAATTATGCAATATTCATATTATACATATGGCACTTAATTCTGGTTTTAAATATCTGTGTATCCCAGCAAACTGTTGGCGTTCCTCAGAATAAGTGATCACATCCACCTCTTAAAGCTGTTAGATAACAATAAAGGGAAACAGTGAGCACTACTCACAGCTGAAAAACTGATGCAAAAGCTACTCCATGTGACTTGTCAAATATCAGTCTTTACTGAACTGTGTTTTTATGAGGGTGTGTATTTTAATTAACCTTACAGCTTTTGTGTCTTTGAAGCATAACATTTTGTATCATCTGAATTACATTACAGCATAGAACAGTTCCTACTGATTTTATTCAATTACATAAATAAACTAGATACACAACTTGTCTATAAAAATCACAATAATCACAGTGACAAATATTCTGGTAAAGCTATAAAGAACATAGGAGGCAGAGAGATATGGAGAGAAGGAGAAAGAGATATTTCGAAACATTACTGTCCAGACGTGATGCATTTTAAACTTCCCAGACTTCAAGCAAAGTACCTTTTCTTATTCCCATACCATTTCGTACCATAATGTGCTGGTACTGAACTCTAAACTTGTAACTCTTACCCAAAATTAAGTGCATTCTATCTTTGTTTATCTCCGGCAAAGATTTAGTGGTAGGTGGAGTTCCAGGCGTCTGGTTTAACATAATGGATGTAGCACGTTTCTGTGAATTGGGCATTGCTGCAGCAGTCTCTTCTGTTGACTCTGAAGCATTAAATCCTGTACTGTTTAGCCAAAGTGCCACTGCATGTAGTATGGGAGCCCAGGAGTTTCGGTAATGCAGTCTAGCTGTATCAATTGTTTCTGGAGTATAAAATGCTCCCCCTGTTAAATTAGCAAAGCAAAGGGAAATTCTGAAATTCTCTGCAAATAATAGACAAAAAGCACGTACTCTAAGTTTATTAGTTTATTTACTCTGGGTGTATTTGATCATGTACATATTTAGATGTACATATTCAGATGTAATCCTTGTTAGTGACAGTGCATCCCACTTCTCCTTGTGAAGGAGCCACACTAGTACCTCTCATAAGGAAATGCAATGGCCACAATGGAACAGTAAGCAGAGAGCAAGAAAGGCAGGCAAAGTCATCAGGTCTTGCAGCATTTTTCATAAAGAACACTCATTCTTAACTCAGTAAGATGTTATAAGACAGTATCAGCTCTAATCTCAAGGGCTATGTTTTTATTACAGTAAACATCTTTGCATTTGATATCAAGTATTGGAGGTGTAGAAGTAGTCTTAATTCTAGAAAAGACGTGGTTTTAATGATCTCTCCGATGCAGATAAAGAACATCTTTATTGCAGATTGAAAGAAAAAAGCACACTCAAACTTCAAACATACATTCCTGTTACACATAGGCAGAAATTTATCACTTGCATTAAAAAACATGCCTGCCAAATCATTTATAGAATAGTTTTGAAGTCTCAACTAAGGGTTTCTTTCCGTTTTTCACAACAACACAAAAAGAAGTCCCAGTGCTTACCATCTGGTGGAAGCTGGGTAGCAAATTCAGCTGGTAAAGTTAAAAGAGCATAATCTTTCAGTGCAGCTAACCAGAGACGGCTAAGTGCAGGCAGCTCAGGTTGTACAAGCGTTATCAAACTGTCTGGTGGCAACTCATCTATAGTACCAAAATCATCCTCATCCTCCTCTGTGCTCTTTAAAACACGCTTTGGTTTGGTCTCTGCTTCTTTCTTAATTTTCATGGCAACAACATACACCTAGAAGAAAAACAGATATGAAAGTACATGCTGTGAGATCCTAAAAAGAAAAAAAAGCAGCAGCCTTTCCCACGTGAAAGTAACAGATTCCACACGCAGATGACTCACCAGAAAATGACTGGGAAAAAGAGACTTGCAATACAGTTATCTTTTATTTAAATATTTTTTCTTTTATTTCTACCAGTATATAACATGTAGGGGCATAAACGGCACTTTCCTAAAACGATCTGGCTACACACTTTTTTCCTAAAAAAGTGTCAATTACTGCTGCTCTACACAGACATACTAATTTAAATAACCGATTTCATTAAATCAATGCATCCTTATTGCAGAGATTTCTTTGACCTACATTAAGAGCTACTAGATAAATTAGAGTAATTGTCACTTTCTGGGAGCAGATTAGGTATCACAAAGACATGAAAATGTGTTACATGAATACAAGAACATTTATGTTTGTCTTTGATAGATGCTATGAGAGGATAAAAGTATTTTCAAAAAACTTACAGAAATATAGGAATAAGCAGAAATATCAGGAAAATACAGTAAAAATAAGCATTTTTAGAAAAGAAATAGAATACAAGTAAGTGTCTTAGTATTTTCAAAAACCTTACAGAAATATAGGAATAAGCAGAAATATCAGGAAAATACAGTAAAAATAAGCATTTTTAGAAAAGAAATAGAATACAAGTAAGTGTCTTCGCGCAACAGATGCTCCATATCAAAGCTGAAAATTACAGTACGGGGTGATTATTAACATTTCAGCTGTGTAATGTTACTTTCCTTTGTAATTTCAAAATTAACTTCCAAGAAAGTTTAATGAAAAAACCCCAAACTTTAAAATCCTACACTAAAAGAAACCAAAATACCATTTCTGTAATTATATGTAGAGCTCTATAGCATGCAAGTAACATTTCAGGAAGCAAGGCAATGTAAGTAGTTGAAGATTTCTGGTATTCCAGCCATTCCCCAACAATATCTACGCTAAGCCTGTAATTCATTATGAACACTTTGACAAACTCCGAGTTAATTAACTTCAATATTTTACCAGAATATATTTTAAGGTTGTTTGGGTTTTGGTTTTTTTTAAGTTTAAGAGCAGTAAGATGGGAGGAAAATCATAATCTGATAGGGTATGAGTGTATACTTTAATACAGAACAGTGTAGCAAAACAAAGAACTGTCAAGCATCACTGTAAATATGAATCAACAGAATGGCAGAAAAAGGAACAGAGAAAAATATAGAGATTAAAACATCCCAGGAGTGGAACTGCAACAGGTAAGGAGGTGGGCAGGTGCAAGGCTCACTGGCCAAACAGCCAGTGAGGTGTGAGGCTGCTATTACACTGCCTTTTCAAAACATCTTTTCAAACTTTTAAAGATTCAACGGTCAATGTTTACCTCAGCCCATGCTTTCAGAACTGCAAGTTTTTCCATAGTAGTCGCACTCTCTCGGTAAAGCTGGCTAGAAGATCCCTTTCCTGCTTGCACTTTATCCAGGGAAGAGACAAGAAGGTTGTGAACTCGGCGGAGGTCATTCAGGTCACTTACAACTCCACTTCCTATCCAAGCACTACATACCTAGACAACAAAGTTTAGAATCATTCTAAACTAGCAAAAAACCCAACAACCTTATAAATGGGGAAAAAAAAAATCTGTAAGAAAATAAAAACCAAAACAACCACCACAAAAAACATTAGCAGCTCTCCTCCTGCTTAATATCAAAAAATCCGAGGTTTTCCTTTTTTTCTCCCCACCCATGATAACAGAATTGCTCAGGTGAGTGGTTACAAAGACTGTATTTGCAAAGCATACTACAATGGAACTTAATAGATACATGGAAAATACTTAAAATAGTTTTTAATCCTCCATAAATAGGTAATAACAATTTTTGTACTCTGTTCCCAAGTGTCTGGTCAAACCATTGAAGTAATGGGTCATTGCATTCACTGTGAAGAATATATTGGACAGCAATCAATAAAAATACATCTTTTAAAACCCCACACCTCTCAAATTATATATTAAGGCTCCATATAATGAGACGCTTTCAAGATCATTGATGTCAAGAAAACACCAAGAAATGAGTGAGATAAAAATCTTTAAACAACTGGGCTCCGATTTGGAACCAACAGTACCACATTCTGAATAATCAATACCAGACATGGTGGACAGACAGTTGGGTGTCTCCCCACTTTTCTTTTCTTTTGAATTAAATGGACCCAAACAGGTACTTAAAATCCAAACTTCATACAGATCAGCTGCTCCTGTCTAGTGCTGTACATTGGCATTCATCCTCTGAAACACATTCACACCCAGACATAACACAGGCAACAGAAGAATTCTGGTACAGCTGCTTTTCTACAAAAAGAAAAACGGACAAATTCTTCCAGAAGACCTGCCTTGATTCTGGTGGCGGTTCTACAAGGTTGAGGAACAGACGCAAAAAAACCCACAGAACTCAAGCGGTTCAGGTTTTACAAACTCTTTTCATGGCATTTTTGTCCTATCTCCAATTTATTTATTTTGCTTTTAGAGAACCAGTTCCATGAAGGCCTTTCTGGAAAGGCCTCTCATGATCTGGAATGATGGCCATATTTGAAGTAAACACAAACAGAAAAAGTGTCCCAAAGGTGCACAGGACAAGGCTGCTGAAAATCTGTCACAAATCCATAATTCATTCACAGTAGGACTAAGACCAGCTTCACTCCTGCTGCTGGGCAAGTCAACAGCTGTTTCAGTAACGACATAAAACTGTAACAACATCAAACTCATTCACTGCAGCTCATCTCTGTCCATGCAACTTCTAGAGAGAGAGTTAAATATCCAAACCTAACCTCCAGCTGTTTGATCCTGTAAGTGCACACATCAACTTTGAAATTGGTTGACTAAGGAAGGTATTGACAAGTTACAAAGAATCTTACATGTTTTCACACAAACTGCCTCTTTATCTAGCTTTAAATGCACAGAAACTTTCCATAAGGTAAGATGAGCATATTCTTTCCTGTGTATAGATACCAAATTATGCCATATTTGATCTATCCTTACAAGTTTTGCTGGAAATTAAGAGTATAAACCAACAACAGAAAATCATAGTCCTGCTGGACCAAGATTTACTAAATAAAACTCACATACACAAAATTATCATATTAAAACTGATGTTTGCATAGCTAATTAAACTGCTGCTTTAAACTACCGTAGTAATTTAGCTGTGTCAACAACATATCAGGTACTACTACAGCCATGTTGCTGACAGCCGATTTAAACTACATTAATCACACACAAGAAAAAACACGCACACAAAAAATTTTTCACTGAATTTTCACTGAGAGGTTGTTACTATGACTGTAGTAAGAATGCTCAGAGCTTCTAAAATCTAAAACAGTGTATTAATCTGAATGGAAGTTTAGTGTTTAAAGGTAAATTATCAGTAATCTGAATATTTGATTAGACTGAAAGGCATCTCAATAAATACCTTACTATTGGCATCATTAAGCAAGGGTTTGTTTTTTTTTCTTTTAGCAACAAATGCAGAATTGACATGGAGACATAATTAATTTTAGAAAGACTAATTAATTTTCTGATATAGCTCCCAAAAAGGACTTTTGCACTTCTGAGTAACAAAATATATTACTACGAGACTCAAAAGATGATGTAAAAATGTCACGGCTTAGGTTTAGAAAATTTTCCAGCCATTTGCTACTACTTCTCTTCTGCATCTTTCTTCCAAAATGAAGGAAAATCAGTTTGACTTATCCTATCTGAACGTTTTCCTCTGTACCTGGCAGGCCTTTGCAGTTATATCGGACGGTGTATCTTGGGAAAAAGCTGGCCTCAGAGCAGCTCCAACCTGTTAATAGGAAGAAAAATTTAAAAATCCAACTAAAACAATAGTGACACAACAGTCTTCATCTCACCATGTTTAAGGCTCAAGCACATATACAGAACAAGCAAGACAAGATTGCCAATTTTGGCATTGTAGTTACATCCCAAACTTAACCTTGTTGTCTAGCAGGCATTTGCAATAGTATTCTTTAAACAACAACAACGAAGTCCTAAACCAGTTTTTTTCCTGCTTGCCCATTGCCTTTTTAAGCCTCAACTACCTTTGTCAAATATGTGGTATTATCTTTCTTCTGTTAATGAGTATCCTTTTAATCATGAAAGTATTACAGGTGCAATTTATGCTAAGGCTCAAGAAGCCAATGACTTTCTGGTGTCCAAAGGAATAATGATGATGCAAATCCAACCATAACCATTTGGTTTCACAAGTTCCCAAAATAACAAATACTGACAAAAAAGCCTTTTAGGCAGTTGTTATAAGGCAGCATTTTTCAGAAACAAAAGGAACCAAGTCACAGAGACAGAAGCAATGGTTACAGCACTACAGAAGGAAGAAAAAGGCAGGAAGTGAAAAGGATGAAAGCCTGCCTTTAAAAAGCATTTGCAAAGATCTTGAAGACAGAGTGAAGACAAAAGAGGTGAAAGAGATAAGCTATGCAACAAAATAAAGCATAATACCCCAAAATAAATATTCAACTGCCCACCTCCCACTTCTATACTTTTGTAGTTTTCATTTAAACAGAAGTATATTCATTAATTCCCAAGAAAACAGATTTATTAGATTAAATCTGGAACTGAATCAGCATTATTTTCCAATTCCTAATTCTACAAAGGAAATGCCACTCTTGCCAAAAATTAAATGTAATTTGTAATATTTGGCTTTCAAGAATCAATAGCTACTGAATTTTTAAATTTTGTCAGCCACTAAATTATAATAAGTAGGAAGAGATACAAAAATAAATTTTGAAGAGGTAAATAAAAGTCTCTTCAGCACATCTTCACACACAAAAATCTCTTCACAGGTCTTTTGAAGTTACAAAATGTTCTCAGACCTAATACTGGCATATTGGCATAAATATACAATTTCCTGAACTTATAAAGGAGGTCTCACATTAGCCTGATACTGCTCCAGTATCACATGGCCTGGAAACTCTGGCTCAGGAACCGATGCAAATTTCTTGATAATGTCTTCAAGAGCTTGAAGACCCGCCATTCGTAACTGGTTGCTGTGATCAGTTGCAGCCATGAATGCCATTCGAATAAGGTCAGAGAGATGGAGTACTAAAAAGTCATCTTAGAACAAAACAGAAAGAACTATTTAGTAACTTAAAAGATAGCTAACATGACAGACATTTCTAACATTTTCCTCACTGACGAAGCCCTGCCTTGATTCTGGTGGCGGTTCTACAAGGTTGAGGAACAGACGCAAAAAAACCCACAGAACTCAAGCGGTTCAGGTTTTACAAACTCTTTTCATGGCATTTTTGTCCTATCTCCAATTTATTTATTTTGCTTTTAGAGAACCAGTTCCATGAAGGCCTTTCTGGAAAGGCCTCTCATGATCTGGAATGATGGCCATATTTGAAGTAAACACAAACAGAAAAAGTGTCCCAAAGGTGCACAGGACAAGGCTGCTGAAAATCTGTCACAAATCCATAATTCATTCACAGTAGGACTAAGACCAGCTTCACTCCTGCTGCTGGGCAAGTCAACAGCTGTTTCAGTAACGACATAAAACTGTAACAACATCAAACTCATTCACTGCAGCTCATCTCTGTCCATGCAACTTCTAGAGAGAGAGTTAAATATCCAAACCTAACCTCCAGCTGTTTGATCCTGTAAGTGCACACATCAACTTTGAAATTGGTTGACTAAGGAAGGTATTGACAAGTTACAAAGAATCTTACATGTTTTCACACAAACTGCCTCTTTATCTAGCTTTAAATGCACAGAAACTTTCCATAAGGTAAGATGAGCATATTCTTTCCTGTGTATAGATACCAAATTATGCCATATTTGATCTATCCTTACAAGTTTTGCTGGAAATTAAGAGTATAAACCAACAACAGAAAATCATAGTCCTGCTGGACCAAGATTTACTAAATAAAACTCACATACACAAAATTATCATATTAAAACTGATGTTTGCATAGCTAATTAAACTGCTGCTTTAAACTACCGTAGTAATTTAGCTGTGTCAACAACATATCAGGTACTACTACAGCCATGTTGCTGACAGCCGATTTAAACTACATTAATCACACACAAGAAAAAACACGCATACAATTTTTCACTGAATTTTCACTGAGAGGTTGTTACTATGACTGTAGTAAGAATGCTCAGAGCTTCTAAAATCTAAAACAGTGTATTAATCTGAATGGAAGTTTAGTGTTTAAAGGTAAATTATCAGTAATCTGAATATTTGATTAGACTGAAAGGCATCTCAATAAATACCTTACTATTGGCATCATTAAGCAAGGGTTTGTTTTTTTTTTCTTTTAGCAACAAATGCAGAATTGACATTGAGACATAATTAATTTTAGAAAGACTAATTAATTTTCTGATATAGCTCCCAAAAAGGACTTTTGCACTTCTGAGTAACAAAATATATTACTACGAGACTCAAAAGATGATGTAAAAATGTCACGGCTTAGGTTTAGAAAATTTTCCAGCCATTTGCTACTACTTCTCTTCTGCATCTTTCTTCCAAAATGAAGGAAAATCAGTTTGACTTATCCTATCTGAACGTTTTCCTCTGTACCTGGCAGGCCTTTGCAGTTATATCGGACGGTGTATCTTGGGAAAAAGCTGGCCTCAGAGCAGCTCCAACCTGTTAATAGGAAGAAAAATTTAAAAATCCAACTAAAACAATAGTGACACAACAGTCTTCATCTCACCATGTTTAAGGCTCAAGCACATATACAGAACAAGCAAGACAAGATTGCCAATTTTGGCATTGTAGTTACATCCCAAACTTAACCTTGTTGTCTAGCAGGCATTTGCAATAGTATTCTTTAAACAACAACAACAACAAAGTCCTAAACCAGTTTTTTTCCTGCTTGCCCATTGCCTTTTTAAGCCTCAACTACCTTTGTCAAATATGTGGTATTATCTTTCTTCTGTTAATGAGTATCCTTTTAATCATGAAAGTATTACAGGTGCAATTTATGCTAAGGCTCAAGAAGCCAATGACTTTCTGGTGTCCAAAGGAATAATGATGTGAAACCAAATGGTTATGGTTGGATTTGCATCAAGTTCCCAAAATAACAAATACTGACAAAAAAGCCTTTTAGGCAGTTGTTATAAGGCAGCATTTTTCAGAAACAAAAGGAACCAAGTCACAGAGACAGAAGCAATGGTTACAGCACTACAGAAGGAAGAAAAAGGCAGGAAGTGAAAAGGATGAAAGCCTGCCTTTAAAAAGCATTTGCAAAGATCTTGAAGACAGAGTGAAGACAAAAGAGGTGAAAGAGATAAGCTATGCAACAAAATAAAGCATAATACCCCAAAATAAATATTCAACTGCCCACCTCCCACTTCTATACTTTTGTAGTTTTCATTTAAACAGAAGTATATTCATTAATTCCCAAGAAAACAGATTTATTAGATTAAATCTGGAACTGAATCAGCATTATTTTCCAATTCCTAATTCTACAAAGGAAATGCCACTCTTGCCAAAAATTAAATGTAATTTGTAATATTTGGCTTTCAAGAATCAATAGCTACTGAATTTTTAAATTTTGTCAGCCACTAAATTATAATAAGTAGGAAGAGATACAAAAATAAATTTTGAAGAGGTAAATAAAAGTCTCTTCAGCACATCTTCACACACAAAAATCTCTTCACAGGTCTTTTGAAGTTACAAAATGTTCTCAGACCTAATACTGGCATATTGGCATAAATATACAATTTCCTGAACTTATAAAGGAGGTCTCACATTAGCCTGATACTGCTCCAGTATCACATGGCCTGGAAACTCTGGCTCAGGAACCGATGCAAATTTCTTGATAATGTCTTCAAGAGCTTGAAGACCCGCCATTCGTAACTGGTTGCTGTGATCAGTTGCAGCCATGAATGCCATTCGAATAAGGTCAGAGAGATGGAGTACTAAAAAGTCATCTTAGAACAAAACAGAAAGAACTATTTAGTAACTTAAAAGATAGCTAACATGACAGACATTTCTAACATTTTCCTCACTGACATGCACAAATTTTACCTATTCTTTTTCAAAGGTCCACATTTAGGGTACGGAAGAACGCAGTAAAGAATGTAACCTATTTTTCTTTCTTCTCCTCCCCCCCTCAAAGTGATACAAGGGCTTTTATTCCTAAGACAACCTTAAAAATTAAGCACAAATTTGAAACAAAATGAGATATATGATATACAGAAATTGCATTGAATAGAATATGTAAATGTGGCTGAGTAGCTCAGAAGAGATTAGAACATGTAGTAAAGCTAATTTTAGTGATCTCCCCCAAACCTACAAAAAAAATCTTCCAGGCAATTCCTGTTCGAGCCCTATGCTTATAGTGACCCCTGCTGATGAAGTAAACACCTGAAAACTGAGCACGCCTCTACTTCTGCTCCCAAAAGCCACATCCAAGGCTGTAAGTAAGCAGCAGACAACATGCAGAAAAGGACAATACGTAACTCAGTAACATTTCTGAAAGGATTATTCTTTGCTATTTTCATTCATTTTATTTCTTTCCTTACTCTGAATTTGAAATTACCAGATGTTGTACAACTAATACGAAAATAAGTTATTTAAAAATGTAATATCCAGGGTGACTAACAAAACCCACAAATTATGAAAGCTCTACATATTTTCAAGTTTCAAGGTAAAAAAGAAAAGTTTATTTTGTAGCTGCAACTTTTCAGAGGCATGTCAGTAAAGAACAACTGTGATCACTTAAAAACTATGAAGTGGTAAAGTCTGCACTTAATTTTTCAGACCATCACAGACTTCAGTAAAATTTAAATATTTTGGAAGTTGACGTTGGGGGGGGTAGAAGTTTGCTGAGTTTTCCTTTTTACAATGATACCAAACACATCGAGTTCACTTCAAATAAATTCAGAGATGTAAATTCTCAGGATTATTATATGCAATCTTCTGCAGGGTCCTATAAGCAGCAGTTATTTTATGATTTTCTCTATAATGCAACGCCATCTCAAAATCAACTTTCCCAAAACTCTTCCCTCTTAGTCTTCAAACAGTGACCCCAGCCTCAAATCAAGTCAGAAATAAGATTCTCATAAAACCAATGCACAGTGCTGGAACCAGACTGCATCAAAGCAACACAAGCAAAGACTTGATAAAACTCCGTACCATAACAGACACCCTCAACAACACAGACACTAAAATCCATTAATCCCATCCATTCTAGGATGCTCAAGATACTCATCCAACATACACAAAGTCTTCACGAGCACTACATGGGTGAAAGCAAATAATCACTATGAACCAGAACCAATACACATGGACAGCTCAAGGACAGAAACCTCCTACTATCTGTTAGAAAAACATTTCTTCGCAAAACAACTATGTCATCTCTGACCTCTCAATTTTGGTCCTCTAACTCATGAAAGTATCTTCAAAATATGAGCTTTAAAACTAATATTCATCAATCCCATGGATACCAAAAGAATGAACTTTAAAAGCAGCTGGGTCCATGTCTTATTATAACTCCCTCCCACATCCCTCACTCCGCAACCAATAATTACAAGCCACAACAATAATTACCTGGCCTTACCTCTTTTTCTTTCCTAGCATCCCTTCGGTCTGGAGATGCTAAAATAATCTCTGAAGTCTAATTCATTGCTGTCATTATGTTAAACTCGGAGAAACTATTCCCAGCTCACCCTTAGCTATAAGTTTACTGCTTCTATTTCAGACTGGAGAAAAGGTTTACAAATCTAAGGGGTTTTTTTCCAAGCAGATCAGTCTGTCAGAATTCATATCCTCCAGCAAAACTCATTCTTTGTGTTCATGGTACGGTAACTACAATGGTTACACAACTACAGTTTTATTGCCTTTTGCTGGCCATTTCCTTTGGTTTTAACCATTTGAATGAAAGGAAAACTGCTTATATTTTTTTCTTGGTTGTGCAATCTTAAGCTATAAAGAGGTGTCAAAAATAAAAAAAAAAAAAAATTAAAAACAAAACATGCATATTCTGTAATTACTTTTTGGGTTTTTAAGTCTGGCTGAACGAGCCAGTGCCAGATCGAAGTGTGCCTTGTTCGCATTCTCACACAGCATGATAACCCGGCACAGACAGTCTGCTGCAAACACACGAGTTGCCCAACGAGGTGCTACAGAAGGCTTGGATTTATCCTCTTCACCCAAGGTGGTAAACATTGTATCATCATCCATCTCATCCTTCTTCTCTGATTCCTCATCCTTCCCTCCTCCCAAGGGAGCAGCAGTGCTCATGTCTACGACAGAGAACAATTAAAAAAAAAAAAAAAAAAAATCCCACTTTTACAATCCGCAGAAGACAGCTAAGGACATATTCAAGCCTTTCCTTACACTCAGATTCTAAACAGACTAATTCTGTTGAAACAATAACATTTGAAAAATGTAGAAAGGCATAGGAGTATCAGTAGAAGAAATGTTTTTCACCTCTAATCTGGGCTATATTACCCTTTATTTGGCTTAAATGATATGAAATAAACTCCTGTAACATTAATTCTCCACAGATACCAACTATAGCTGAATCCCCTATCTGAACTTCTCACCTTTGAAAATTAACCTATTAAATTGCCAGTAAACAGGGTAAGGAGATTACCAGGCTCAGAATCAAAGAATCAGCTTGGCTTTGAACTATTCAGCTCCTGTTTCAAGTAAAAGCTAGAGTGCATGTTAAACTGAAACAAAATTACAAAGTTCCATGCCATGGGACAGATATGCAGCCAAGTAGGCAGTTTATGGTACCCACAAACGTGCTTAACATTCAAAAAATTCTTTTCTCTAAGTGTGGTTGTGAGACTTCATTTCAGAAAATAAAAATACTTCAGGGATCATATTAAAAAAACCAATTCCAAACAGGGACAAAAAACAACTCACCAAACACACATATACACTTCTGCTATTCAGAAATGAGAACATAAAATCTCAGTGGCAAGGTCCAAATTAACAAAATGCCAAGATACTGACAAAAATTACTCTGTCAATAATTAGAGGAGAATGAGAAGAAATTATTGCAAGGGTAACCCAGCCCAACTAAGGCATGCTTCTTAGAAATTCTAAATTTAAGCAGCTGAAGAGCCAAGACATTCAATAAAGAGAGAAAGAGGCTATGGCAAATCAAACATGGATGAAGCCAATTCACAACAAGAGTGTTTTGAGAAGGCATCCAAGACTTTATGTGGCTGATTTGTAAATCTCTGCTTAAAAAGCAAACCAGATTTTTTTCATATGCCAGTTAGTTGGATCAAAGGAGTTCAAAATGAAGTTGCTGGCTTATTAAAGTACAGCTGAGAGATATTTATTTAAATATGGTTCTCTCAGAGATTATTTCACCTACTAATAAATAAGAGATTGGACAACCATGTTAAAAACTTTAAAACCCATCCCACATGAAATAAGAAAAGGACATGCCAACTTCAAACTTGGGAAACGAGATCTTTCTCACTGGGCAGATACATGGTAACTACATTGCATAAAGAAATCATTGGTAGCATTACTTATCAGTAAATGTAAAGCTGGCAACATGTAGAAAGAGCTTCAGGATGAACTCACAGTATGCCTATAAACAAGTATAAATGCAAAGGAAATGAGCAGAATCTGCGTCACAACCATCCTACAAGCTGAAAAACAGGATTAAGGTCTCAGAGGACAAGATCTTTGCAAGCAAGTCTGCAAAGTTGAACAACAAGCAAAAGTTTCATCACCATGGTAACCCATCATCACATCAGTAACTTAAAAACCTCATAAAAGAAAGCTCAGACTGTGTACAGCATTCTTCTTTCTACACGGTCCTGATGTATAAAGGCTGAAAAGAATGTGTCTGCTTTCACCAAGACACTGAAATGTCAGAGTAATAATCACACTGTTTCTCTGCTGGAAATCCTACTTTAAGGCAGCTAACTTTTTAATCTTAAAAGCAGTATTTTAAAATTTAACATAACATTGATGATTTCTTTTTTCTAAGCAAGTTTTAATGCACTATAATCAAAGTTCTATATACAATATAAGCTATGTCTCAACTAGGATAAAAGACAAGCTCCAAACAAATATTGCCAGAAGATGCTAATACTAAGGACATACTGTTGTTTATGTGAACACTATAGAACACTTACCACTGGAAGCTGCAAGGACATCCTTACAAAGCATTAGCCAGTGAGAAAGGTTTTCTACTGCCAGCGATGAAAGCATATGTCCCAGAGTATCGTGGATATCTGAGCACAACTTCCGATCAGTCTCCCGATCCAACATTCCAAAAAGGACACCTTCGAGGCCTGTCTCTGTTATATTAACCCCCTGATGCCGGGAATGAGCATCTCGCCGAGAACCAGCTCCTGGTGCAAAAGGATTCATATCTGCAAAATGATAATGTGAAATCTTTTCTGAAATCAGTAACTCAGTTTTAAAATTTGGAATAACAGACTAGAATTGGACATTGTGTATTTGTGTGTGTACAGTTCAGGCAATGATACACCAAAATGTTACTGAATTTCTTCTAAATTAGCACTAGAAGGGTTTTAATACAGCAATTCAATTTATTTTCTGCAAAGCAAATAACACCTCTTAGTATTACTTCCAAAAAAAGAAAAAAAACCACAAAACTCTCTCTCTTTTCAAGGTACATACCCCATGAATTTATAAAAACCATAAGAGTACTGGACTCTAAAGAATCTTTCCAGAGACAGACTTAACTGGTGTGATTTAATATGAGTAAGCTCACGATTTTATGTTCGTATGAAGACTGTGCTGATCAACACTGCTGAGCCTCCTATTTTCAGAATAAAATTATATATGTAAGAATTGAATCAGCCAGCAAAGTCCACAGGCTAGCAGACGTGCTGCTAACAGAATATAAACACAACCAGTATCTCAATCAAACAGCATAAAATTAAGTCTATTTTCAACAGAGCAAGACCTAAAATATCAGAAAAACTGTAAAATGTTTCCACTGTATATACTCTGCGTTCCCTATTTGATTGCCACTCTTAATGGGGCAGAGAAGTTTAAGTCTGAACTTTACAAAAAGTTAAATTATAAGTGAAATTCAAGAGGTAAGCAGGGGTGCAGCCAGAAGTTACTGGCGCTGGAAGGGACGGTTTTAGGTTTTTGTTTTGTTGTTGGGCAGGTTGGGGTTTTTTTTCCCTCTCTGAAGGCAAACCACACATATGCCCACATATGTGCACTCAACTGTTACAAAAAGGCCACATGAAAGAAATACTTACTGATGCCACTGTTTTCTTTGTCTCCAGCATTTTTTGCTAAGCTCATGGCATATTCACATACTTCTGCTGCTTCCCTCTGAGCAAGCTGTCGTAAACATGCAACTGCAGCCCGGCGAAGCAGCAAGTGGGAGCTGCACAAATGAACCTAAAATCAGAACCATTACAGGTGAGTGAACTGCTGTACCCCCCATATCAATAAATCAGTGCTGCTAAGGACTAACAGCATTCTACTTTTCAATTATATGCCCATGTGTGAGCTGTTGGGTACCAAGCTCTTTACAAGACCTTGAGAGTTCAGAAGTACTCACTTCTTATAATGTACAAATGTGAAAATAAAGCTGACATATACAAAGCTGACAGTTGTTACCTGGCTAAAGAGATAAGAGCTTAAATATCGGAACTACTGCGCCAGTGTGATTTTAGACTAATTATACTTTCCAATCTGTTACACTTTTCAGTACTACTCAATCCCATATTCTGCTATAGCTGTAAATCACATTCTTTTAAACAAAAAGCCATCATCAGCTGCACCACACGTGACAGCTATCAAAAACTTTTATTTCAAACTTTTAACAGAATTTATAGCATAAGTTTTTATAAGTGCCGCTCAATAAAACAGCTTCAGATTTCTTTGCTAACCAACACTGGCTTCTAATTCCTTTTGAATCACCTCAAGTACAAGCAAATATTTCTCTTATAGAAGAATTGTGCATGGTCCCTATTTTCCTGAGAGGAAGTAGCTGCACAGAGAACTCTCTGTTTTTCCACGGTGGAAGAGATGAAGAGTGCTCTTTAAGAAACTCTTGATTCTTTATTTACCCTGGGGAATTTGTTTTTAATAAACCGAATACACATTTGCTTTCTCAGTATTAAGTTATTATGTGGATGGAAATTGCTTCCCTAAATGAAAGGGTTGTATAGTTTATAAAGCATTTTAACAGTAGATCTTTATTCCACTGTTTTTCCACGGTGGAAGAGATGAAGAGTGCTCTTTAAGAAACTCTTGATTCTTTATTTACCCTGGGGAATTTGTTTTTAATAAACCGAATACACATTTGCTTTCTCAGTATTAAGTTATTATGTGGATGGAAATTGCTTCCCTAAATGAAAGGGTTGTATAGTTTATAAAGCATTTTAACAGTAGATCTTTATTCCACACTTGAATATACAAGATTTTAGTCCTGAAAAAACAAGCAGACTTTAAAGAACCTCTAAATACAACACTGAGGTTGTTTTAATGGAACTAGAACACAGAACATTCGGGGGATTTAATTAATGGAAAGAGTATTCCCCGTCTTAAGTTACAAAACAAACAACTAGTGGTTATGAAGCCAATGCAGGAAGAAAAAATGAAACTAGATTGTAGAACTGTGTGGTTTAATTTTGATACCTGGCATTAGTTCCATTCAAAAGCGAGTTAGAAAGCAATGAAGAGTTTGCTAATGGGGCATGTAAGACAGACCTTGCCTACATATCAATGTATTTGCAGTATAAAGAAATGCACAAGACAATTCAGAGGAAAACTTACCAAACTAAGCATGACTTGGAAGTAAGGAATATGAGAAAAGAGAAGGAAAATAGCTTTTGTTTAGCAGAAGACCATGAAGGAACAGGAAGGAGACAGTAGAAAACCCTGGCAAAAGTTTTCAAAACTGTCATTCCTGTATGAACTTCATTGTCTGTAATATTACCCACTGGTACTTGCAGAGTAAATGGCTATAGGGATTGTTTGTCATGTTGTACATAGTATTCATACAAAAGGGCCCACCTACTTTTTGGGTACGTTGCACCTCTTTCATGCAAAATTTTGTGCAAGGACAAGTGACAGATTCTGGGAACACACGGCACTCCCAGGAGTGCTCCAGAGTTGCGGGGGGAAGCAAGGGTGAGCGCGGGGCAGGAAGCATGTAACAATGAGAGGATGCACGAGGGAAAGTCTGGATGGCAGACTAAGAAAAAGTTCCAATGTTGATGTAAGTAGGGTCACACTCCTTCAGGTAACGCAGAACCACCAGTTTCACAACGAATGACACAAAAGAACTTTGCAAAACATCCAACAGACATTAGGGAGAAACTTTTCAAATTTCTCAGTATTGGATTGCTGAACCCTCTAAAAAATAATTTTAAAAATAGTAATAATTAAAAAAAAAACCACACCAAAATGCACACCCACACACACCACCTTTCCTCTTATAGTTGTATTTGGTATGTTTTGGGTTCCAGCCTCTGCCTCACTTCCAGGCTCAAGCCATGATTTGCTGACAGAACACTAATGGAGGGAGAAAGCAATGCTAACAACAGCAGCCCAAGAATTTGAATGTCAGCATCTACTACGCTGACAGTGGTGAAATAAATCCAAAATCTCCTACGTTTTCCAAACTCACTCACTTACTTCCCTCTATGCATGCAATCAGTTGGAGAAAACAGAGCGTTTCAGCATCTTTTTACTCAGTCATATTACATATAAATGCTTGCTATCTTGTGCTATCTAGGGTGAAAGAGAATCAGACCCTACGACTTCAATTTGGGCAGCATTCTGAAAAGATCTAAAATGGCTTGGGGACAGACATCCTTTTATCGCACTCCAGTGTTTTTGCAAATGTGGCTTGCTTATTACATATGTGTACCCTTGACATCTTGCTAAGTGCTCCTCCTGTCCTCTGCTAAGCACATACATAAAACTTTGAGGAACAAAAGGGATGCATTTTGTACTCACACAAAGACTGGGAACCAGACTGGACAGGTTGACATGCCGTGGTGCAAACATATGAAGCTGCTGAAGGCAGGATATGGCAGCTGCTTGAACAAGCGAGTCTGAATGGTCTTGTGTGATTGCACATCCCACCAAACAGGAAGAACGGATTGTTGAAATTGTAGCTCCGTTACCTAATGATGTAATACGATATCCTTAACACAGCAAAATTTCTGTATGACAACTGTAGACTTTAAACCTTTGAGAAACAAGAATTTTTAACGCTTCAAAGTTCACAGATTAACATGCAACTTTTCTGAATTCCTACCGCAAATTAGTATCTACACAACTTCAAAGAAACACTAAAGAGTGTTTCAATATCTCTTTTTAGCTCAGTTAAACAATGCCCAGTCCAAATGAAATTTTGGATCAATGATCTTCAGTCAGAAATATTTTGAGAATATCTTCCCAGGATATAAAATCAGTAAAATTATCTGAATTTAAATTTTGAAAGTCTCTTTCAGTCTATACATATGGGCAACATTTCATGCACCAAACCATTTCCTAAAATATCAGATTACACTTAAGCTACTATACACATATGCAGGTGATTTTAGTTAGCTCCATTAGATGAGTTGCACTGCTCTAATAGGACAAGCATTCAAAAGAACAGTATTTAATTTGAAAAATAAACCCATTCTGTATTTTAAGAATTAACCTGCAGCAGGTTTATAAAAAATCTTGAATTACAGAAAAATGTAACCTGCAGAAGACATTCTACGTAAGTTGTTTATTTAAAAAGCTAATGACACTCCAGATCAAAAGGTTAACACACAGCAAGCAGATACACAAGTTCAATTAAACCATCTAGAAATTTTTCATAACTAGAAATTTAAGTCCAGTTATTTAGAGTTAAAATTTCACTAGTGGCTGGCTCTCTCGCACTGCATCAAAGACCATCCTGTAAATATTCCTAAAAATCCCAGTTAGACAAAGGTACAAATCCGTGTTTTTGCCATCTGAGACACAGAATTTCAGATACAGTGTTTGGCATGACAAGATATTATTCTCTACAGTAAGGTACAGTGATCTAAGAATACCAAGAACGAGTGGAAATGAGTTATAGTTCACAGTATTATCAATTATGTCAAACTTAAGCTCTTGCCATCAGTTAAAAATAAAATCGACACGTGTTGAAAAAGCAGAGGAAAAATCTTGCCTCTTGCCCCACCTATACACAAAAATATACATAGCAAAATATGCAGCAATGGTGTTTTTCATCTTTTACCTACCATGCAAATTTGCCATTAGCCAGAACACCATACATCACTGCAACTTCTTTATACAAATCTCAAACTGCAGTCAAAAAAGCCCCAAGCAGTCATAAGTAGGATCAGAAGTGAGGTTGCTTGCAGGACTGCAACTGAATTTGTCAACACCCGCCCCCGCCTCCCGCAACTGCAACAAACAAAAATTTATTTTCTTCCATTTAAGATTGCGATATATTATCTTTATACGTTAGATTTTTTGTTTTCTCTTCAAATTCCCACTAACCTTGCAGCTCAGGCCCAACAGTAGTTATTATAGCTCCAAGACATCGGCCTAAGCATTGATGTACTTCCGTATGTGATGGTGGAACAGTTAAGAGCAGAGTAAGAACTAGAGAAAGCGTTGGCTCCACATATCCACGGTACATTGGTCCACTAGAATCTACTATCAAGGCAAGTGAATGGAGAGACCAGGTCTATCAAAAAAACAAAGGAATATTTTTCAGCAATACATTTAGGAAATTTAAACAATTAAGAGAGTTTTGTATGCAGACTGAGCCTAGCTCTGTACGTCCTTGTTTAAACATGTCTAGTTAGCTACTCTGACTCCAGAAGTGTTTCAGAGGTCTCAGAATCTCAAGCAATGCCCTGGGAGTTTAAATATCTCTAGCATACTCTGGCTGTCAGCAGTTTTGGGGATAATGGAGATGAAGATGACAAAGAATTTGAGCAAAAAATGGTTAAGCACTCTGAGGAAGAAAAATACAAACACAAACAACACCCCCCCTTTAAAAAAAAAAAAAAGGAAAAAAAAAAGTGACTCTTAAGACAGGAGAAAGAGAAAATCATTCCACTGTAAAACTGGATGTAGAGTCTGAAATGGGCAGTTGACGAAGTCCTTAGTGGGGAGTGCCTTTGACATTCCAATAGAAACTGGTTTTCATGACAAGTTGAAAGGTTCACACACATTTTCTAATTAATTTTCTTATTAGAGGGTATAAAAGAAAGCAATGCTGTTCATAGTCAGTGTGAGATGAGGAAAAAAAATGGTGAAAGATCAACCTATTTCAGTTGCAAGATAAGTAAATAACAAAAGAGCAAAATAATTTATTGTAATTGTCGAAGCAAGAAGTGGGTGAGGGGATAAACTTTTTGTCACTGACATTTCATAGGAAATAAATTCCCCTGACAGCATTAGCTATTTCTCCATAATATCCTACTAAATGATCTTATTTCAGCATTTTCTTCCATTAAATACATGATGCAGTTGCACTGAAAAGACAAAGTTAAAAGAATACTACTGTTACAAAGCTAGACTCTTAGGAATGAGCTGGAAAACCTGCCTTTAAAACTGCTCCTTTTTAATCTTCTCTGATGCAACCCAAAAACCATTAGCACTAGCAATCACGTAACTACTTCTTTAGTCCTAACCACATGGTAGCACGTTACAGCTTACCCTTTCATTCCTGCAAATTTCCATTACTCGTATTCCCTTACAGTTTCTGTGTATCCACACCAATCTAGTGAGGGATGAGGTTTAAAAGTTTAGCTTTTCACAGTGGCCTGATGTCATACTCTCAACAGAAAATAAGGTAGGTATGCAAGTTTCACCTGGGCTTCCCCTTTATACTTCACATTTTTTTCATAAAGCAGTAACCCTTTCCATTTTGTTTTTTTAATGAATGGTACAGAATTATATGCCTCAAAATTAGTTACTCATATACAAAGTAAGTTATATATGCAAACTGAACTTTGTCTTACCTTAAATAAACTAAGGAAATTTAAAAGAAACTTTAAATTGTATTTATAGATTATTATTTTTTAAACATTATCTCCAAACAAAACTAAGCTTGTTTTCCCAAGTGATAAGCTTGATTATTTTTTTTATTGCCCTGAGGAAAAGAAATAAGAAGGCACTCTACTACATGTTTTATCAAGTTAACAATTTAAATGAAGGTGGAAGTATGATTCTGTATAGTTACTGGGGGCTTCAGCTTCTCAATCTGTGGGTATAAAGTGCCCCTACTCATGGGTAGCACACAACTTCCTGCTGCTAAAGCATAATAGTCAGTCACTATTCCAGATAATCGTTTCCTTGCAGTAAACTTGTGAAAAGAATGACAAAAAATTACCTGTTATATCATGCAATTAACCATGATCTTTGAAGAACAATAATTACAGACAAGACACTTGCTTTTACTCAAAAAAGGTTTCTTCCCCCCCCTGCTTCTGAAGTAATTTTTTTATTCTAGTGCTTTGATAGATCTAATTGCTGGAGGGGGAAAAAAAAAAAAAATCAGCACTTTTCCCTCTAATATTCAACTTCTTACTGTAAAGACTTCTTACTGGTCCATCTAACCCTCTCTTCTTTTTACAGCAGCAACCACAAACAAATGCTAAAGGGAGGGTAAAGACAGACCAAGACACTGACCCCTCGAGTTTGTCCTGGGAGAGTAAGGACAGTATATTCTCCTAATTTTCAAGTATTTTCAACTTAGGAAACTTTCTGAACTGTGCAGTGTTTATACATATTCAGCAACTCCAAAGGCATTGCTCTTTCAGCAGCACGTTTAGTCCCCTTTTTACTCTACCAGAAACTTTTAGCAGTCAAGTTGTCCTCCTGTGAGACTCCAGATGTCTATAGTCCACAGTGGATAGAAACCCCTAGCTGCCTTTGCCTCGTCTTGGACTTGGGTCCTCCTGGTTCCCCTTCTGTCCCCTAACTGCAGTTTAGCTTGCAACAGATTTTTGTTGTCATAATATAACCCCCCAAAGATGATGTACTGCCATACTGTGTTCACAGTATCACATATACGGAAATTACTTGGCAAAGAAAACCACTGCTCATCACCTGAGACTCCAGTAACCGGTCACATGTTAACCATTAGCCAGTTATTAAAAACTTTAGTTTAGGCAGCTAAGGTACAACTAACACATTTTGCTTTACAATTACAGTCAGTTAGGAATATGCCCACAGTGAATTACTCTGGCTCAGCTGACAAGCAGACACTTGTCAGTCTGAATTAATGTGACCACTTGCAACTGCCTCCCTAACTAACAATAAGGTTACATTTTAATTGCAGTACATATTTGGGATTCTGTACTGTAAGAGTTTATAAGGAAAGTTCCGCTTTCTTCACACTCTCTGCCACATGCTACGTCCATATGATTTGGCTTACATGTGACAATCTCTATTAAAGAACATCTGAACAAGTAATGTAATTTTTAATTTTAATCCTGAACATTTTAAAGTAGTTTTGTGGTGACTGTGTTTTTTACCTGGACTTCAGGAGAGGTTCCATCTTGTGCCAAAGCCAAGAGAATACTGACACTAGTTTTCAGATGCTGTCCAGAACCTATTCCACCAACATACCGATGGAGACAGCCCAGAGCCAAAGAATGGCCCGTTCTTGATACAACATCTCGAGCAGATTTTAACCTATCAACATTTAAATAAAAGGAAATAATGTAATTCACTGTTTGTAACGAAGAACCCTTCAAGTACCATAACAGTGCAAACGACTAACAGAATTTTGCAGGCCACCTTACAAGATCTTGAGAAGGCTTACCAACAAAAGCAAAAACAATATACTTAATCTATATTGCTATTAAACTGAATTACATTTAAGGCAAGTGAAAAAAGAGATATTTTAATAGTTATTTTCCTTCTTCCTGGTCAGAACTTGACATGTCAGATGAAGAAGAGTTTTGGAAGTGAAAGAATATAGGAAAAGCATCTAGTGTTTACCAATGTTTCACAGCAGACTAATGTAATAATCAGAAAAGTCACTGCTAGACCACTGCAGTGAAAAGGAATCAGGAATGGAAAAACGACAACACATTGAGAAATGACAAAGAAATCCACAGCTGTATCTTCCACTGCAAAGTCAACTGAGTAACTTTTTAATACAGCTGTTTTCTCCTACAGCTGAATTCTATGACTTTTCCAATAAAGCTTTTTTTTAAAAAAGTGTTTTATTAATGAAACTAAACCAGAATGAATAGCATTTTGAATTATCTAGTTGTATGAAGCAGTGACTTGAGTATTTTCCACAATACTTCTGCTTCTGAATGCACGTCACATACGTAACTTTTTAATTAAAACCTTTTCAGGGGGTGGGGAAGAGAGAGAAAAGGAGGATACCCTAATTAGAAATTCAAGGAGAGACAGTAAAGATGATGTACTTTATTACAAGATGAAATGATTGGAAAAATTAAATTACGCAGAGGTAGGAGAGCTGGATTCTGGGAGAGCTGGACTGAGGCTATGTGCATGCAGCCTGGCCAGCCAAACATGGGCTGCAGCCCTGAGGTAGGTGCATTCTGATTCACAGACAGGCTGATGTCTTAAATTTAAGCCAAAAATTGCGAAACATGTTGTCTTGTTCTATCTACTATCTAAAGACCTGAGATTAACAACAGAATATGCAAAAAAAATATGGGCCAGTAGATAAGTTAAATCAATATGTAAAGAGGATGTTTTGATGAAACAGAACCACTATCACACAATTCATATTACAGACATACTTAGTGTAAGCTGTGTTTATCTATCTGAAGCAGTTTAGTCACCTTCAAGTAACTCATCAAAAACTATTCACTGATATAATTTCAGATTCCAAGTAGTTTAACAACTCAGCTCTTATTCCTGGAAGAATCACATGAAATAAATCAAAAAGAGAAGACTACTTGAAGGTTTGTTAGATCTTCATAATCATAGCAATCAAGCACGAAGAGAAGAAAATAATCAATATGGTATTTAGTAGAGGAATCTTCCAAACTACGTTAAATTATATTTTTATTTCGTTTTCTGACTCAAAACCAACTTACTTATCAAAACTGTACTGAGCCATTCTAGCGATGAAAGACGCTTCTCCAACCACTTGAGCCATTCTGCCAAGAGCTTCGCCTGCTGCACATCTCAAAATAGGGTTAGGATTATCAAGGGCACCCATTACCAGCGTCAGAGCAGATTTGCGGACTTCTTCTGGTCCTAACGTGCTTTTATTCTCAGCTAAACCCTACATGAAAAAAATATGAAAAAACATTCCAAAGCAGGGGAGAAAGGGAAGATATAAGAGCAATTTTACTATATTTGAGATCTTCAATTAAAAATGATGCATTTTTACTTTTGTTTAAATTTGTGGTCATTTATCCTAAAATATCCTGGTTGAAAATATTTAAAACTCAAAATCAACAACATAGTCTTATGTTTGCCAACACTCTACCTATTTCACATACAGGAAGACCTGTTGCACCAGTCCCTTTTATCAAACGCATTGCAGTGCTACATGTGCCCTAGTGCTACTGAATCTGAGCTAGCTTTACACAGGATATCCCAGAAAAAAAAAAGAGAAGCTTTAAAAATCTAACTGCAACATCTCTTTCTGTTAGACAGGAAAACCACAGCTCAGTTATGCTTCTGCAAGAATTGCTTAAATCAAAGACATTTTAGGTACATGAAAATACTTTTTTTCTTAATAATCACATCTTTGCAAACATTTATACAGCCTGTTATATGAACATTCTACAGAACAATAACACCACACACTGCTTCTGCAGCTTCTTTCGTTCCCATATTTCATTAATAGTACATCACCTTTCACTACAACTTTCAAGAAGTCTTTTACTTTGTGAAAAATAATTAAACACATGTAAAGTACAAACACTGCATGTATTATAGAGGAAGAAGTTGATGGCTCTACCACAGATTCTCATTTTCTGTTCCAAAATCCTCATTTCAGCTCAATTTTGACAATTCTTTGGCCATTTGGTATGGCAGGGGAAATTTCAGGCATCTGTCTCAGAATCTACTTTTCAACTTGTAGCAACATGGATCACATTTCTAAGAACAAAGCAAGGAAGAGGGATGCTGTTTTGCCAATGTATTTTGCCCATCAACCAAGGACATGGAGCCCCGGTAACAATTAGCTTAAACTAGGTAGCCATTTTTTGTATGGCAAAAGTCAGACAAAAAGGAACTCATCCAATCTTTAATTACAGGCTGGCACTTCTATGAGGGTGGCTTCCTCAGTGCACAGGACTTAGTCGCTCTGAAGATGAACAAGGATGACAATGACAGATGTTGTCCAACAGACTCATGAACTGGAAACTATATAAAACAGCATTAGGAAAAAAACTATAAATGCCTTAAGAAATTTGACTAGTCAAAAGAAAATCCTACCCTCTAAGACACTGTTCCACAAAGCTTTGAGGCAATGCAAGTCACTGAAACCAAGCATTTCTCAGGAATATTATTTGTGACTTGCTTTCTAGCCTTCCTGAGTTGATAGCATGAGGTTGGATTTCCAAGTGTAAATAGAGAACACAGAGCTGTAACTGAAGTCAGTGGGACTGGACATAAGCGTCTAGAATTCTATGCAATATTAGGGAGTCTTAAGAAGAAAAAATTAAAGACATCCAAAATGGAAACCCAAATCTATTTTTGTTTTTATTTCCATGAGCCTCATCTGCACAATACTTTATGACATGAGGGGTTTTTTTGAGTATACATGACAAAGTACTTAAATCCATGAGTACAGTGCAAATAAAACTACAGAACTGAAAAAGGGAAAAAAAAAAAAAAAAGAATCTGAATACTATAGAATGCTGACTACATGAGCCTTATCTGTTCTCTGTACTGATACATGGAGACAAGAGCTCACGCTAATATCTGAAAAAAATTCAATTTTGGTATTTTCAAACTTTTGAATGTCTAAGTGATAACTTTAGTAACGTTCTTCTAACAGCCTTTTGTATCGAATACCAATCGATGAATCAAACTGCAGAACTTTGGCATCCATTAAAAGTTTACAAGTTTTACCTTCAAGGCACTAAGAACAGCAGTAAAGATATTAAGCTGCACAGCTTGCTGGCGAACACCTTTAGCCTGCTTGACACATTCAGCAAAGTGATCCAACATCTGTAATCTAAAACAAAGGAAAGAACATAATTTAAGTGATATTCTTTCAAATTACAAACTAAAACACAGCTGGTAAAAAACCACACAAAACAAAAGGGCCTTTTAAGTTCAGTCACAGAATTTACACTTCAGGGACTACAGAAGATATTCACTTTAGGTAGAACGGGTAGAGCTATTGTGAACGTCCCTTTGCTGGTTCTTTTAGCTCATCCACAAGTGTTTACTATTCCTTTTGAAGAAAACACCACCAAGAGGAAGTGAGTCTTCAGATACATTTGGCTGTATAACTAGAAAGCTATGAGGACAAGAGTGGAAAAATGCTGCCTCTCCATTACCATTCAAAATAGTGTTACCCTCCATATTCCTATTATTGTTCCTATTGTTTTCCCCATTTAACCTCTATTTTCCCCCCATTTAACCATGCCAGAAAGTGTTACTGGGAGGAGGAGTACTCCCTAGAAGATACCAAGAATAGGAGTATAATGAATAATCTGCATTCTTAACTACTCGGCAGTTCCCCAGCCGAATCTTTCCATAGCTAACAACAGATATAGATCAAGTTGAATTACTGCAAGCTGACCTCAAGTCTATCCTGCGTTTACCGCAAAATGAGACTGACTGCTAGGAAAAAACTGTTCCCATCAGGATTGCACTGAAGGATAATTTTACTTTGAAATGCGTCTTAGAGCTGCTTTCACTCTGTGCTCAGTGATGAATTAGCTGAACTGAATGACAAAAGTAGCCCTGACAACTCATAACTCTGCAAAGATAACATGGAACGCAAAGGAAAACAAGCTGAATTCCATTCCCTCTTTTTCATCATACAGAAAAGCATTTGTTGAGTATAAATCAAATGGTCTTACTCATGGAAGCCAAATTTAATTCAATGGATGCCACCGCTATGTTTTCAAGGCTGATTTGAAGTCAATTGCAATGGATATTTTTGCAGGAAATTTTGGTTGCAGAGATATTACTACTGTTAAATGCAGTAAGAGGAGAGAAGAATCTAGTCTCCACCTCTGAACCCTAATCTTCAAAACTGATAAAACTGAGGAAACCACCTTATTTCTAAACTGAGCAGACATATTCTAGAATCCTGAGACACAATGAACATCAAATACTGAACTCTGCATTTAAAGACAGTTGATATCAAAGTAGATACTTATTTCAAGAAAAAGAAGTCAAAACATAATACTATCCAGAGAACAAGGCATTAGATTCTGAAATTGAACACTGATGTAAACTGACCTATGTTTGTAAGAGACATGAGGAAAAACCACACCAAAGAGAGCCACAGATGCATCAATGACAGATACTCCTAAAGGAAGGGGACCGGGTACAGCTTCACCAGCAGGGATGCGCAAATAAATAGAAGATGGATCATGCTCCAAAGCACCACTTCCAGACGCACTGTTTGGCTGAAGCTGCAAAATGGCACATAATAGGAATACCTCTGAATATACCTTCACACATAAAATTTGGAACTACAGACAACCAAACATGTATGCAGTAGCTTAGAACAACAAAATAGCTTACAAACACCTGAATGCAACCGCAGTGTCCCCGTGCATACGCACACTAGCATTTACAAGGCCAGCTAAATCCCAGATGGTCGAAGCAGTTAACAGCTGGATAAACGCACAAACTATCACTCCTGGTATTAAGAGATGGAAATTAGAGAAAAGCAGATTAATTCTGCTACTAATAGTAGCTTCTGAATCACTGACTACAAAGTGACATTTCAGAAAAAAAGTTATTCATTCACTCTGTTTGAGCATTGAGTTACAATACAGTATATTAAATAATCAGTTTTGGCTGTAATGATTCCCTACACAGAAAGATTTAGAAACAGTACTAAAATTACTAACATTCCTATCATCATAAAAATACTTCCTAACCATCATTCTTTCAGGAAACACAATTAAACAGTCATCTATTTTCTCTGAAGAAAAGCTTAGGAAAATAAGTTGTTAATTATTTAATCATGAAACAAAATTAGAGTCTAGGAGCTCTGTATTTTTCTATAAAAGGTCAGAAAACAGAGCAAACATTTGTTGAGACCTCCATATCACTAAAAAATAAAACGTGACCAAGCACAAGAGAATTCTGTGATGCACTACAGGGCTTCAGTTACCAACGCAAGGTTGAAGATAAAAAAAAAAAAAAAGGAAAAAAAACAAAAACAAAAAAAGGGGTGGGGGTGGAAGGAGCGTCCCAGAAAGCTCTGTGGATTGAAGACTGCCCTGGAAGTCCACCACAACAAAAAAGGGAGGTTTATAAAACCCTTTTTTTGCTTTGATATGCTGATCTTTTCTCAGAAACAGTTTCCCCTTGGTTCCTCACACTTGGTATCAGTCTTGGCTTTTGGATCTGCTCAATCAAGACAGCTGCCTTCTGAGAAACCTTGCCATTTTAGCCTGGAGAAAAGGAGGCTGAGGGGAGACCTCATCGCTCTCTACAACTCCCTGAAAGGAGGTTGTAGCGAGGTGGGTGTCGGTCTCTTCTCCCAAGTAACTAGCGATAAGACGAGAG